CTTTATTCGGACTAAAACGGGTTAAATCCTGAGCATGCGCAGTTCCAAACATGCGCAGTTCCAAACATATACGCATGCTCGGGCCTCTGCTTCAAAATATCCACGTAGATGGGTTTGTTCTTATTGCTCTGGTATTTCGATTTTCACAGGATTTAACCAGTTTTAGTTCGAATAAAGGTAATTTATGGAGGTAAAAAGAGAAGGAGTCACAGCCAAGCTTAGATCAAAGGTACTAGGATGGTCGCTGCTGTTTGTACATAGATCAGGGAGTTTATTTGCCGAACGGACCAAGGAGGACAGTTTCCGCTTAGCCCAGTGAGCATTACGATGCATTAGCATACTACGGACGCCTTCAACAGCATTCGGTGATTTTCGTGACAATTCTAGTCAAATTCTTATAAACAAATATGGCGACGATTGATAACGCGCACGAGTTTGACTACGATGCTGAAACTGCTATATGCTTCAATTCAGAAGACATAAACGAAATCGAAGAGCATATTACAGACGAAGAATTGTTTTGCATATGCTGTAAACAAAAAGATTGCTCGAAAACAAAAAATGCAGCGAATTTTTACCTCCATGCACTGCCATGGGAAGTAGGACATACACGGGATATAAACTTCAAAAAGTGTCATTTCGAACCTCAAAATTCAGTCTCTGGTACAACGCATGGTCTATGTCATGCACCAGTGCAAAGATCATTAAACGAGCTTTATTTTGGACTAAAAAGCAGTACTAGCAAGGTTTTGAAACATTACCATATTGCCGATTCAATAATACAACGGAAAATTTTCTGAAAAACGAAAAATTACATAAACTTAACAAGAAATTCTCTAATTTTCAAAATTCCAACGTTCTCGTTCTCACAAACACGATTCCTCTACGTATAAATATCTGCGCATGCTTTATGTCCTTTAAGATTTACTGTGACATCGTAAAACAAGACCTTGGAGTGTGTACTGTACGCAGCAACGCTTGAGAGTAAATGACGCGTTGGCGACGATCCTGGGGTGAAAGGACGATAAGACAATAGGAATTATAGGATTAAACTTGGCTAAAACAAAAGAAGTTTAGAAGGATTATTTTGGCTGTGACTCCTTCTCTTTTTACCTCCATGGGTAATGTAAGTCGATCGATAGCAATATCATGCTTGAGTTGTGTGAAGTTTTGGAAAATCGTGTTATTTTTCCTACCTTGTGTTATTATATGATTAGTAGGGGGATGTACCAACTGACTGACTAACTATGCCGATCCCACTTTAGGTCATTTTTTATTAGCCAAGAAACGTTCCGAGCGCCTGTGCACTGACGTAACTTGTTTGTGCCAATTCACTGGCGGCGTCATTGACGCAACATACATTGATATAGCAGTCGCCAGTCACATGCATTTTTTTTTCTTAAATACAGACCTCATAAGCAGTCAACAAGCTGGGG